ACAGCATCAAATAAGGCTATCACTAATTTAAGAAAATGGTTAATTACTTGACGTATCATAGGAAAAGTTTCATAAAAGCATCAATTTTATGACTTTGTATAAGCTTGAAAACACATTACAGATTTCTGATCTTAATGTAAACAGTAAAAATGAACCATGTGAAAACATTCAGCGTTTAGAAGGTGGTGAAATTATTTTAATTAACATTTAAAAAATCATTAAATTAACTGTGAAGATAATTATTAACATAGTCCAATAACTTTTACATCTCTGTAAAACTGAAAACAAAAATGCTTTGAAAACCTAGTGCCTTCTAAGTTGAAGGCTCTTCTGAACTTCTGAAGGATCTTTTGAACTTCACACTCAGGCGAAGTTCATCACTTTGAAAGCAGTTATTGTGGGACTATTTTTAAGACTAGCCAATGGCAGTCTTTCTTTTAAATGCAGGAAAGTAATTATGCCCACCTTTTAAAATTAAAGCACAATCCTAAATATTTTTTTAGGGAATTGAATAAAACCAATTATTAACCTTAATAAATCAGAGTCAAGTAAAAGGAAATCTCCCAACACTGACTTACCAGTAAACGTCATTTGAACAGAAGGGGTCAGGGTGAGCACTGCGTGTAGACCCTCAGGTTAGAATATGCTCTAGAGAGCATGCAATAATCTATGCTTTCCGTCACTATGCACCATTTAATTCCTTACTCATTTGCAGTGTCAGGTTAACCTCCTTTATGATATGATGATGTCAAAATTTTATATCAATCAATTATTCTGTATCCCAGTTGGGCCAATTGCATCTTAACATAAAAAACGAATTACTCTGTGTACCAATTAGGCCAATTGCATCTTAATATAAAAAAAAAATTGTACACTCTATAACTATTTATTACCTTAAAGTTTATTAATAAATAATTGAAGAACTATCACGACTAAATCACTGTTTTCTCATTCTGAATATGGAATTGTATTGCTGAATACTGGACATGAATATATGACTTCATGTTCACAGTACTCCATGTGTGTCACAGTATTCCATTTTTCCATATACTTAGTTTAAAAATATTATTTTTCATTGGTTATTGATGGCTGATTACTATCTAAGCTAAGATCGAAAATCATAGATTCTGGTTATTGTTGTTTAAAAGAATATTTCAAGGTATATTCTTATGCCTAACTCTACTAATTTCCACTTGAAAAATTACTGAAGAAGAACAATTTAATACAAGTATATAAACACTTCTGATGTCTTTGATAAATAATGTCAAGTCGCCCTCCAAAGAAAGCATACCAATTTTCATTTTCTTTAGCGATGTATAAAAGATACTGTTTCATTACATACTCACCAATAGTAACTATGTTTTCTAAATTTTTCTAATTTTTCTTAGTTTTTCTTTACATTTACCTTATTACTATGGTATCCAACATTTTTATATCTTGAAATAGTTCTTCATGACCTTTATCCATTTTTCAGTGGTTCATTTTTGAAACATGCAATCTAAGAATTGACATTTCACAAAATAAAAAAAAAAAATCCCTCAAGAATGTCATAGATGATAAATTGGTGATACCCTGTCCATGGGATGGGAATTTATCCACCAAGAATAAAAAAGACGGGAAGCAGGAAGGAAGCATGTGGAATTAGCTGCTATCCACACTCCCCAGTTCATCCCTAAGAACATCCTTCTGTACCCGCTGAGATTTCTAGTCATTAGCTGGTGTGAAAAGAGGACAGATTGAGTTGTGAATCAAGATCCTCTGACAAATAATTGTACAAAAAGCACTGAAACAGAGGGTAGCAAAGCAGTTGCCACAAAGATAAGGATGCTTTATATAAGCAGGCAAAGACCTCTGAATAGCCAAAAACAGAAGGCTCTTCATGCACGCTCAGTGCAGCGATCTCCTTTATCATTCATTCACTCAGATTTTCCCCCTTCATCAGGGCATCTTTTCATTTTGTTTGCGGTTCAAAACACTAGGACACAAAGGATGTGCTTCATCTTGTGAGCTATTGAAATGAAATCTTGAGGTTAAAAGAAAAAAAAAAAAAAAAACCTTGCCCTAAATTCCCTTTCAAAAGTAAAGTGTGAAAAGACATCAAGCAGAGTACACAGGGTTATTGTTGAAGAAAGTCAATTCGGCAAGTACAGAATCCAAGGCCATCAGCAGTGGCTCAACCACTTCCTCACCCACAGTGAATAATAAGAAAAATCCAAGGAGAGAGGATCCCACTTGCGGAAATGGAACTTCTCATTGTCCTGCCTCTTGATTATCATTAACATCTATGGGCGCAGCTGTTCCTTTCTCTGACTTAATCCTAAAGTCAATGCTATAATATTGGCCCCCTTCCACTGCGTCCCCAGAGCCTATTGTATATCACCTCAGGTCCCATTCTGAGCAGAAGAGATTTCAAATTTATCTTCCCATTGAGCAGCAAACTAAAAAGCCTAATGATTTTATTTAGTTCGGTACGGAGGTTACAAATGATTTTGAAATTTTATAGCCTTGAAAACTTGCTCCTCTTAAACCTTCTTGAATATGTAAATAAATTTTAATGCAAGTTATAAGTAAGTTGTAATACAGAAGATAATAAACATCAAAGTTTTTTTTTAACAAAATACTCAGTAGTTATATATATATAATATATAAATTATCATGGAGTTTCTTTTTATAATGCCAGGATTATTTGTTTTATTTATTTATTTATTTTGCAGTTTTGGGCCGGGGCTGGGTTTGAACCCACCACCTCCAGCATATGGGGCCGGCACCTTACTCCTTTGAGCCACAGGCACTGCCCAATGCTAGGATTTTTTAATCAAACATTTTGAAGAAGTAGGCCATCTCAGAGTTCTTCTTGATTTAATTTTGTAATGCTACAGAGTATTTATATACAAGGGTCATTATATAAATTGCTTCAGACTTTATAGTTTTAGGATAAAATGTATTACTTATTATTTGAAAATATATTACTTATAATTATTTGGGGTTTTAAAAAGTCATTAAAATAAGCTATATGCATTAAATACACACTGTAACCTTGAGCTATAGTGGTATTTCTAGCAGAGAATGTTTAGTATTAGATTGGGTCCTCTTGGTGTCCAGTGAAAAATTTTATTAGTTCAAGTAACAAAAGAACTCATGGACTATGAGAAAATTGAGACCAGACAATAGTTACATTCATAGTTTTTGGTAACCAACTTAGCCTATAGGAGTTACAGACAAAAAAAAAAAAAAGCTTCTTTAATAAAAAGCTCTACAATGAGCAAATTAATAATAGTTACCCCATATGGTGGTTCTTTGGCAATGAAGGTGAACTACAGAATTGTCAATTGTGATGTTAATCATTGACATGGGCAATGTGTACTCCTTATAACTAGGATCTGATTATATACCTATATATATTCATGGACATTTACGAGATTTGTGTCTGCATATAATTCCTCACATACCCTTCATATACTTCTCAGCTCATGCAGGAATTTCCTGCAAACCTGAAAGTTAAAGGCTATTTGTAAAATTACCCAGGACTGAGAAACAGGCATCATTTACATAGCGCCTATATGAGGAAACGGTAAGAACAATCAAAGTCCGTTTATATAATGATCATTCCAGGAGCACACTGTCATACAGAGCATACTATGGCACAATTATTTGGGGTATCATTTTAAGGTCTACCAGAGGTGTCTGAGTTGCACATTGGAAGAAGAAGAGCTGTCTTGGGCCACACAGTAAATTTACAAACACCAGAGAAATCTGAACAGCTAAAAAAAGTTGTGTGTGTGTACTTTTAGTTATATCTCTGACACCACAGATAAGCAAAAATATCCTTACAAAATCAGCATGTGGCTTGAGGGCCACAGGTTGGACACCTCTGGCTGTTTTCTCAGCCTGAATTCACATTATTTTTATATTTGTTGAGAGAATTCTTGGAAATCTGGCGGCATTATTTTCTACATCACATCAACTCCTCTTGGAACAAATAACGAATTTTCTTAAGCATATCAAATGGGTGAGATCTTATGGGTTACCATCAGTTCTCTAGGTTCCACAGCAGAAGATGTTTTTGCAAAGCCTAGAAGCAATGATTACTTTGTTGGGAAGGTAATTTGTATATGTGTTCTTTTCAAAGGATGCCCAACTTCCTTTGACGTTAACAGTATTATGCGATCTTATAAACTGCATTTCTTAAGCCTTGAGCAAAAGAACCAAAGCTTTCCCTCCCCAAATGTCTCCTTTCTTTACTTGGTTCCATTTTCAATAATTCTAATATTCTCCACATCAGAGTTGTCCTGTGGTGGTGACTATATAGGAGTTTTGAACTTTTAATCCTGGGGTATCAAGTTGAAACACTGAACACCCTGGTGTATGTTTTATTCCAAGAATATAAAAAGTTTACTGTATGATCTAGAAGTGGATTTGCCAACATTCAATCAGAAACAAAACAAACCACAGTAATCTGAGTGGGCCTAGACAGTAAGGCATCTGTCTTTTATTTCATCATCTTCAATTATCTCAATCTTGCTTGCAGATCTGATTTTTAACTCACTCAAAAACAGACAAATAAATGAAGTAATTAACTTCAGTTTCAACAAAGATGGAGCTGATTGATGGGAGATCATGTTTTCATACTGAGTTAAGAAGAAAATAGTACTCTCCATGGCTAGCTACCTTCTAGTTTAAAGTCTGGTGGTAAAATTTAGCCCTATGTTTTCCAAATGCCCTACTAATTTTGTACTAATGGCCCTTATTTTTAATTTGGAAAGAATTGTGCTATTTCTATTTTTTATGCCTGAGGTGACCAATAGAAAAAAGACATACGCATCTTTCTATCTTCACAGGATCAAGTTTACAGTATCCTTTCAAGTGAACAATAAACTCAGATTTCTTCTGTTAATAATCTGTGAAAAGACTTCACACAAAGAACTTTTGATGGCTATACTGACAAAGACAAAAGATAATTTGAGTATTCTATCAGCTAAAATTCTGAAGGAAATACATACCCAAACCTTCTGACTCAAATAGACATGTTTCATCCACTCCTAAGTCTCGGCACCAGGATAAGAAATTTGCTGTATTGTCTCGAGCAAAAAAGGAGCCTGAGGGTGCACTGGCTTTGCATGGAATCTTCTTCAGTGGTAGAGTCTGAAAAAGAAAGAAATTCACTCCGGTGGAATGTGTTTGACCAAGTCTTCACAGTGACACATTAAAAACACATTTATATTTACAATAAAATGCTTTGGAATAACTTCCTGTCAATAGATAAGTTTGTGGCAAACTAAAGACAAGAAATACAATGCCATAGAACTTGCCAGGCATTACGAGACAATTTGCACCTGCCAGCACAGGTCCCTGACTTTGGGTAAACTAGTAAACATATATAAGTCCCTTTCCTGTCTCAGATGGCCTCTTCTTTTTCTCTTCTATTTTATTATTATTATTATTATTTTGGCCTTTATTTTCACCTAGCATTCTATCAGTATTGATCACACAGCATTTCTAAATTTATTTCTTACTAGTAAAAGAGAAATGAGAGAAACACAATGTAGAATATGAATATATGTGTAACACAGACACTTGCATTCTTTCACATATACATACACACACATCATAAAAACCACACAAAAATAATAAGTCAAAAGAAAGCAGAAGCATTTAACATCACAAGTCTCAATCACCAATACTAAGGGAGGATGAAAGGAAAAATCCTTTATCCATAACATTCTGTAGTCTTTCTTCCAGAAGAGTTTCCTTTAAACCATAGCACATAGCTATACTGTATAGTAAAACATAATTCTGATCTGAACTCTACTATTTGACCTTGAAAGATGTTCTTCCCATTGAATATTTTGGGGCAGGGGGTGGATAAGAAAGTGGTTAAGATAAGGAAGGGGGTGAACCTGAAGAGACATCCCTATAAACCACGTCTCATAAATTTACAGCCAGGAAATCTCCCCTAGCACCATTCAAGGTACTGTAGATTTTAAAATTTTATTTAATAGAAGAACCTGGCATTTCCATGGCATTCCAAGGAACTATGTGATTCTATGTGATGTGAAAGACTAAGCCAAATGGAACCTCTGTAAGTTGACCACCCAATGGACTGTAGCAAATTAGTCAACATACATAGGTAGTCAACAAAAGCAGCTTGGTCTTGGTACTTGTAGGGTATGACTGGTTTATGAAAATTAGGTCAACTTGAGGTAGTCAATGTAGGGAAGTGGTCAACTATGGAAGTTCTACTGTATTTGGATGATCCTAGTAACTACATAGAACTTGGCCTTAAAGAGCAAAAAGACCAAGGGAGAAGCATTTTGTGATCAAAATGTACATAGGGTACATCCTCTATCGACTGTGAACCAGCATATATACCAAAAAGTTGTGTACTGCTGATCCCATTTAAAAGAATAGATACAAAAAATAAAATAAAACAGAGCTGGGTGCAGTGGCTCACACCTGTAATCTTAGCACTCTGAAAGGCCAGGGTGGGAAGATCCCTTGAGCTCAGGGATTTGGGAACCTCCTGAGCAAAAGCAAGATGCCACCTCTACTAAAAATAAAAATAATTCTCTGGACGTGCTGCTACGTGCCTGTAGTCTCAGATACTAGGGAGGCTGAGGCAGGAGGATCCCATGAGTCTAGGAGTTTGAGGTTGCTATGAGCTATGATGATACCACTCTACTCTAACCAAGGTGATAGAGCTTGACTCTTTCTCAAAACAAACAAACATACAAAAAAAAAAAAACCCACTGTTCCTATCCATCTCAAAAATCTATCTCTTTGTTGCAGACTGAATTTGATTTAGAATAGACATAATCAATGTTTTAATATAAATATCCAAATATTTATACTGATATATATATAATACTGGCACTATTTAAGTAAATCATATATAGGGTTACGTATGTAGCAGTGCCTTCTAACTAATTTGACCCAGACATCAATAATAGGTTTAAAAGGAATGCTTCCCATTATTGCTTATAAAACAATCAGAAATTGCATAATATGTGTTATTTTTTAAATATTTATAAACATTAATTAGCATTTATTAAAATCAAAATGTGTATATCCTTAAATCTAGCATTTCACTTCTTAAAGTTTCTTACACAGATATAATTGCATTAGCACTTAAAATATATGCACAAGTGTATTTGTTACAACACTGAATATGAAAATTAGAAATGAAAGTATGCCCAGAGGACAAGTGGAATAACCTATAATATATAGTGAAACGCCATACCATCATATGTAAAGAATAAGACAAACGTGTACATGTGGAACCAAAAATATGCTCATACTATACTCTTAACCAAAACAAATTTTAAACACTATTTGCATCATGATTTCACTTTATGATGTGTATATACACATACACATTAGTGTGTGTATACATATCATATGCAATATAGATGGCCATATATAAAGCATATAAATATGTTGTGATATACATATAAATGTTTATGTATTTATAGAATCTAAATTTAGGAATAGCTCAAGAAGGACATATATCAAACTGACAGCAATTACCTTTGAGAAAGGGGATGGATTTATGCATACAGTGTCACTTCTTATTTTATATAATTCCAAAAGAAACAGTAGGATTTTTCAGTGAGTTTTATATTTTCTCCACATTTTTGAATAAAAAATAAAAATAGGTAAATTATGTCAAACAAACTTTTTTATAGAAACGATTTTCTAAAAACAAAAATCTCCAATAGGTGACTATAAAGCCAAAATCATCTTTAAGAAAACACCATAAATAGGTCTCCAAACACTAAGCCATTTAGACCTACCAGCTATGTCTCTTGGGAGGGAGAGGATTTATGAACCCACTTCAAACCACTGAAGGAGTTCATGCACAGAAACTATACTCTAGGAACCATAAAATATTTGACACAGCTAACAGCATGCTAAAGGGCCTGAGATACTTAATCTATGTGGCAAAAAGATTTTATTTCTTTTTTTCTTTTTTATTAAATCATAGCTATGTACATTAATGCAATCATGGGGTACAGTGTGGTGTTTTCATATACAATTTGAAATATTATCATCAAACTGGTTAACATAGCCTTCATGTCATAAAGGGAGGGTGATTGGTGGGATCGCATCTATGGTTTATCTTATAAGGATACAAGTGATTATTTCTAAAAGTAGAATATAAAAGTCTTAACACAAAGATTTTATTTCTTTTCTATTTCGATATTTTATCTATCGATATGGCACTGGAGAAGCAAGAGATGGATTTGACAATCTGCCAAGGGGCACATTTTGAAAGAATAACCACAAATAGCAAGTCTACTGAAAATTATTCAAGCCCACTCTTTAAAAACTTACAAGAATAGCTACCCGGAATGAAAATAGCATTTTTCACACTCAAGTTTGTAGTCTTTACAAAGTCATTGATGCATCAGATACCACAGTGAAATATTAACTTAAAATTCAATGCAATCATATTGAAAGACATGATAATTATTTCAAGACAAATAAAATGAAATCTGGCTACTGATAAGTTCATCACTTGGAGATTCCCAGTGCAGAGTAAGTCATCAGTAACAATGACCTAACTACTTGGGATTTAAGTAATTTATGAGGTATTTATTTCTGCTTTGGAGCTATTAGATTAAGTGCTCCACCTTAGGACTGGGAAATAGTAGACAGTGTGAAGGGAAGCTTCCAGTTGTCACCCAGATAAAACATTTTACTTGATAGATTCTTAAAACTCTCCCTATAATTCCAAATGATTCATGGACCTACACACAAAGTGTCTATAACCTCCGTCACATATAACGAATCTTTGCTCAGTGGAAACTTGAAAGAGAACCTCCACATGTAGCTCACCTGACAGGTTTCCCTTATTAGTTGTTTTCTTTACTGTTTAATTCTAAACTCCTACAGCATTTAAATTATATGTCATCTTTTATTGTTTAATAAATAAAGGTTTACCAGAAAATGCCATCATATGTACTATATCCTCAAAAACTGACTGGTGGGTGAAGGAAAATGGTTAGACTTGTTCCCCCTAACTGGATCACAGTCAACTCGAGAACACGACCAGATACTCTGTATTCATGTTCTTATGTGCATGAGGAACATGTTTTGACATCCACAGGGGATATTTTTACAGGGCCTTCAATATTCACATACTTAAGTGTACATAAATGCCTCTCATAAGTGCCAAAAACCATAACCAAAAAATTAAGTGGTACCTTCAAAGTTGTTTTTAAAGTGACTGAATATGAAATTATGAGAAGACAATTAGGCTGAATTAAGTGGTGCAGAAATTTAGGGTTACTCACTCCCTAGGAAGAGTCTTGGTCTTGTACATCAGCCTTCATCATGGGATTCAATAGCAAAGTGAGAAATTACTACCAATAAATCATTGGGGGATCATGTGTAAGCAGTCAATAGAATGAATATAAATTCATATCAAGACTCTCTTGGTTACCCCTGTATCTCTCAGTGGGTTTAACCCAAGATATGCACTTATAGTCCCTAAAATACCTACAGATTGGCTAATTAACCTATGAGTTAAGCATTCTGAAAGTGTGTTCTTTATTGTCTTCATGCAACAACCAAGACTGGATGCAATAAATGAATTCAAATTTTCTTCTAAAGGCTTTAAATTCAATCCACTGTGTCCCAGGTTAATCACCAGCTAGGGCCCGGAAGTCCAACTACCTGAGTTCAGACACAGTTATATCACCTTCACGCCATGATATCTTGGGAAATTTATATAAAGTCTGCATCTCAGTATCCTCTTGTATACAGCAAACACAAAAAACAGTGCACACCTCATTGGCTATGTGTATAGGAATGCAAACTAAGTAATATAATTGAAATTTATTAGTAAGTGTTCAATAAAGGTCATTGAAGCAAGTAAAGACCTAATGAACTACCTAAGATTTCCTTTTCTCCTACTCTCTTGCCAACATTGCCGTCTCTCCATTATGCATACAAGAATTCACAAAAAGACTGGCAGACAATTTACTTCTTCCTATCTTTGGCTTTAACTTGGACTTCAGCTTTTACTACATAGAAGAGTTTTCTAATAGAACTTCCTGTAATAATGGAAACTTCCTTATCTATGTTAACCCATATGGAAACAACTAGTCCCAAGTGGCTGTTAAGCATTTGAACTGTGTTGT